CTGAGAAGTGGCGTGTCTGTCATGTGAGTGACAGAGTCAAGTCTAGGGAGCAAACCATTAGAGGGGATTTGGAAATACAGCACTGTTTGCAAATATATATTTTCGTCTCATGACATCAGAAAAAGCCACAAAAAAACAAGCAGGCAAACAAAAAAAAACAAGAAAAAAACCCTCAAACTTTCAATAATAATAGTAGAACCAATCCTGGTACCCTGCAGAAAAAAGAGCTCTATGTCTGTCGTGAAATAGCTGTATGGAAAGCTAGAAAATTCTGTGTATTCTCTCTTCTTGTCATGATTTGTGTGTGCTGGTAAACAAGTCTCTTTAACGAGAAACAAAAGGAGATCAATCCGAGAGAAGGTTAAGAGGCAGCAGAGAGATCAAACTGTGAAGTTCAAAAGGTGAGAAGATGCAACTCTCTTAAAAGAGCGACTGGGGCTGATTCTTTGTTAACTGGAGCCTCCAAAAGTCTCTTTTGGAAATAGTTGACCTGGTCTGACAACAGCCTGTGGGGTTGATGCGTAAAGATGATGATTTGTGTGAAATGATCTGCTCTCTCTTCAGGAATAAAGTCAGACTGGTTGATACTGAGATTTTATATGGGTTAAAAACTTCAGAAAATGCATCTCAAGTCTAGAAATTGGGATTTCATCATCTAGCAACTTTTGAAGCACTCCCCAAGGGCACTTTTCCATCAGCAAATGGTGGTGGAGCTGGGAACAACATACAGGAGTGGTATTTGTCTCACCACCTCTTGCATTAATTTCTGGCAGGTATTTATTATCAAACGATGTGACTGTAGTATTTCAGTGTAGAGTAGTAAATAGAAACATGCTTCTTTGTGGCAACTCATAGAATCATAGGATTGCTCAGGTTGGAAAAGACCTTAAAGATCATCAAGTCCAACCGAAACCTGACCATATTGCCCTAATTCTAACAACCCTCCTGTGCCATTCCCCAGGCAAGAGAAATCCTCAGAGGAAATCAGCATCGAAATGCAGGGTAAGGAATTCACCTGAATGCCTGGGCTTGTGTTCAGCTGGTCCCTAGAGGTGTTCAAGGCCAGATTGGATGGGGCCCTGGGCAGCCTGGTCTAGTATTAAACGTAGAGATTGGTGGCCCTGCTTGTGGCAGGGGGGTTGGAGATTCATGATCCTTGAGGTCGCATCCAACCCTGGCCATTCTGTGATTCTGGCTATTAAAAGGTTATGCTGAACCCACAGATGAATTTCCCATGCTCTTTTCTGAGAAACCTGGAGATCTTCCCTCGAATGGCAGTGGACCTGTCCTAAAAAGAGTACCTGTTCAACCTGGGACAGAGGCAGAGGCAAGACTGTATGTTGTGTGAAGGACTGGAATTAGTATGTCCAAAACTCTGAGACCAGTTTTCTAACAGGTCACATTGTATCACTCCTTATTCTCAACCCATAGGCAGTCTCCACCTGCATTTTAGTGATGTGACTGGTTAGATAGCGAGGAGGGTTTCCAATTTATGGATGTTGAATGCCAGAAGTTGCCCAGAGATGGTATGTAGTCTTTGTCCTCGGAGATAGATAAAACTTATCAGGTATGGTCTCAGAATCATATAATCATTAAGGTTGGAAAAGACCTTTAAAATCATCAAGTCCAGCTGTCTACTCATCACCACCATGCCCATTAAGCCATGCCCTCCATGACACATGTCCACGTTTCTTGAGCACATCCAGCTGAATCTACCATCTCCCTGGATGCCTGATCACTCTTTCAGAGAACAAGTTTTTCCTGATATCCAACTTGAACCTCTCCTGGCTCAGCTTTGAGACCATTCCCTCTTATTCTGTCCTATTGGCTTGAGCAACCTGCTCTAGCTGACCCTACTTTGGGCAGGGTGGTTGGCTGGGATAGTCTCCAGAGTTCCCTTCCAACCACATGTACTGCTTGATGCCTCCAAAAAAGACTCCAAAGGATCTATCTACTTGGAGTCAGGCTGAACACTGACAGCTTAATCTGTAAAGGATAAGGAAATGTTATTGCCTGAGGAGGAGGCATTTCAATGTGTGCAGTCAGAAGTAATAAAAATGACATTGAGCCTCTTGGGCTTTGAAGATCCGAATTTGACAAGTTCAGGATTTTCTTCGTAGCTATAGAGGTGATATCCTTTAAAGATGAGAGTCCTGCATACTGCATTTTTTAGTATTGGAAGCTTGTACAAAAGGTGAGGAAAAGAATCAAAACATGTCTGTTATCTGTATTAACATCATTTAGTGGGACTGGGTAAGAAATTAAGCATCCTCCTGCTTGGAGTTCCCCCAGCTGATAAGGCAAGGGCACATCTGTTCTTAGGAAGAAAGGACTCGTGAATACAACCCAAAAGGGTAAAATTGTGGTCCCCATCCATTAGTCTGATCTACTTCTCAAGTGTACACTGCCCATACTGGTGACTTTCTTGTATTGTATTTCTCTATCTTCTGATATGCTTTGAGGACTCATCTGTATGATAATTCCTAATCAGAGTTTAGGACTGGTCATGAACATCCATAAGTAAGACATTCCCTGTGTTGCCTGTTCCTTCCTCATAGGCTTTCCCAATGCCACAGTTCATCTTTTATGTTTTGTGGTTGAGAGTTATTCCTTTCTTTTGTCCAATACAAATGAAGAGAGTATTTTACTCCCCAGGCTTTAACCACAGCTTTGCAGCTTTGAAGGTTCCTGTTTTCCATCTGTCATCTATTCCATAGGCAAAGCAACTCCATTTACTTATTTTTTTCTGTGCAGGTCACGTTTTCTTGACCTGTTGTTATTCTCCAATCTCACTCTGGACTCACTTGTGCCACTAGAAAATGTTTATTGTAGCTTTTTGCCTACAGCTGAGGGCTGTGCAGTATGGTGTTAAGTAAAAGGTTTACTTCACCTGTCCAGAAGATTGTAGAAGATTGTAGCTGACCTAAATTATGTAGTGTTTTATTTTGTTTTTTTTAGGCATAATTTCTGGTTTATTAGGATTGTTCTGAGTGCTGAAGCTGTCCTCTATTCTGTCACGTCACATGTTTTTGTTCTTGCATTGCACTGTAGGTTATAGGATAAAGTTGTGATCAGATTTCTTACTGTGTCCTTTTTTCTGTATGTAATATGTTATACAATGCTTGTTCCAATTTATACGAACTGCCTTCACAGCAAGTCACTTGTCTGTCACAGCAAGTTGGACAAGCCTCCCTGAGGAGCAGCAGACAAAAGAATTGGGAGGTGACATGGGGATGGGAAGATAAATGCTTTTAATGCCTATCAAAGGAAAGGTATACAAATTTGCTCTCACATTTCCCTGCAACCACATTACTACATGGGAGGAGTGTTCCAGAGCTGTGTGAATAAGGGATATTTCAGGGGCTTAGTAGGTTGGGGTGGGAGGTGGTTGATTCTAAAACCAAAATATTTTACTTTTGATTCTTTTTTTTCTTTATCTCCTTGAATGGAGAAAAATACCTTCCTCATCTCCCCTTTCACACCACTCTGTTGGGGAAAAAAAATACATTCACTGTTTGCCAGAGGAATGCTTGCCCAGTTGTAATCGAGTCATCTCAATGACATGATGTAGACTTTCACTCCACAATAGTGGCTTTTCGGAAGCCATTGCAGCGTATGTTTCCAGTTGCCCATTTATAAAAAGGAGAAATGAATCATGATCAACCTATGTATAGAGGCAGTTTTCCAGATGTTGGATTGTTCAGATTCCCTGCTTACTGTGGTTTTAATCTGTAGCCACACTGGGATTTTAAGCTCCTTATCCCTGCCCAGAACTTTTTCTCTGTCTGTTTCCTATGCACCCTTATTTTCCAAGGTGGAAGATAGGGTCTTGATAGTTCTTGAGTTCCATGAGACCTGGGAGAGACAGGATTTGTTTCCCAGTCCATCAGCCTCCCCGAGTGTATCTTCATCTATTTCATTTAGAGTTTATGAAGAACTTATATCAAGACATGATAGATTATTCTTCTGCAAGATATATGGCTTTACTTACTTGACACGATCCAACTGTTGTATTCTCTAGTGTCTTGGAAACCCATGGTTTGCAGGTGGTTTCTCTTAACTTTTACTCTTCATTCCCTTATTTTCTGATCAAAGACTGTTTACCTAAAATGTAGCATTTATGTTGAAGAGGTATCTGCACTCTCAGATGCCAATTATATGTTAATCTCCATTAAGAAAATGGTGAATAGCTTAATGAAGAGCTACTCAATGAGCAGTGATGTCTTCTTCCTTTTTTAGTGAGTAAGTCCCTACTTTCTGCCTCATGATTTTCTGCTCGGGACATTTTAACCCAGTTTTGATGTAAAGAGGCAGCAGCTGGGTTTGGTTCTGTGTCATACCCCTTTTGATGTGACACATTTATCTGTTTTCTTCCTTTGTTGTTGTCATTACTGTGGTTTAGGGCTGGACTACATTTAATGCCAAAGCCCTGGGGCCACTGATGAGCCATGGGGTACTTGAGGTGTGTAGTGGGACAGGGGGAGAAGTTTTTCTCTGTCAGTGCTGCAGTGATTTCAGTCTGCTGCTTCTGCTACTTCAGAAGCTTATGGTATAGAAGCAAATGGTTTCTTCAGAGCTCGTCAAGACTCTGATGTGATGGATAGACTCCTCGCCAGCTCTATAGCTGTAGTATTCCAGAAGACAGCATTATCTTTTTTGATCAAGTCCCTATTTCTTGCCTACCACCTTAACATCGCAAGACATGTCATAAACATCAAGGAATTAAAGTCTTGCCGTGGCTCAAACAGAGGAATGGTTGCCACTTTCACAGGAGGAAGTAAGGTGCAGAGAGGTCAGGTGACTTGCTTGCCCCTAGGATCATCTGTAGTCCAGGAGATCTGGATTTTAGTGTTTTTGTTCTGTGGGTGACCCATACTGAAATTTGTACTTAGGACTTTTTTTTCCCACTTATTTTTCCATTTGCCTTCCCTCCTTCCCCTGAAGTTCTGGGATTTAACTGACATTTAACAGTGTATCTGTCTTTTTCTCTATTTTCTTAGGTTTAAAATACAATCCTGCATCCACTGCTGTCTAGAAAATGTCTTATGGATCCATTGATGGGAGTGGATTTGGGAGGAACCCATTTGGAGGCCCTTCGAGACAAGGCTATCAACCTCTCGGTAAAGTATTTATGTCTTGTAGTAATTTATTCCTCCTGATATTCTGGGGAATGAGGTTTTTACTGAATGAGGTTCAGTGTGGCTTTTGTATAAATATCAAGCTACCTTCAGAAGTGGTTTTGGTAGAGATTTTCAAAGGTGGAACCCAAACATTTATTGGGTTCAATTTGTATGATGAGGATTTTGGAGTTATGTTGGCGGGTTTGGAGAAGAAATTTGGTTCAGTTTCTAGACCTGATTGCAACTCTTTTATCTCCCCAACAAGAAGTTGGTCTTAATTGTTACTCCCTGGATAGTCATAAGTGCTCTCATGATGGGATTAAATGGGAAGAGGTGCAAAGTGAAGAGAGTTGTGATTCTACAGGGCACTACCTAACTGCTGGGGTGGCTGCTATAGTCTGCAAAATGTGCTTTAACATGGCACTGGGGGATAAAAACTTGCTCAGGGAATGTTGAAACCATAAACAATGGAATGGCTTGCAAATGACTGTGTATTCTGGTTTTGTGGGTTGTTTTAAGTGAACACCAGATGGGCTTCCCTAAGCTGCTCTCTTCTTCCCCCAGAGGACTCTAGAAACACTAAAGCAGAAAGAGAAAATCATCTAGGTGTCAAACTCTATATATGAAATGTTGATGCTGGGCTGGCTCATGCGTGGTGATGGAAGATATTTCTCATTCTTCCCAGCTCTGAAGTACTGTTTGAGAGGGCTGGTGCTAGCCCATGTAGGTGTGGTAAAGCTTTGTCTCCAGCTGCCCAGATGTGCACCAGGTCTGGTACACATGGGGAGCTGCTGTAGGACCATATGTGGTTTAATATAGCCTGACTTTGAGCAAGCCTTGTGCACTGGAACATATTTTTGCATTTAGTTTTGAGTCTGGATCTGGCTTGTACCATAGGGTGAAGCTGCAGTAGCTCTGGTGAAGGCACTTCTGAGGGTTCAGACCTTCACAGAATCATCAAGAAAGGGGACACTGTAGCATGGGAAACGTCTGCTTTATTGCTTTGCATCTGGAAGAAATGTCACAATTCTCTTGCATTGCCTTTGGATTCAACTGGGCTGTTCATTAAGGCAGCCTGACTTTGTTTCCAAGTTGTCAAGGATCCAAATATTCTTTGGGAAATGTTTTGTTGTTTTGCAAATAGCTGTTCCCCCTGGATGAAACTATAAAAGAAGTGTTAAGGTTTCTCATGGTTTTCTGTTTTCTTGTGAGTTTGGGTACAATTACCTTTTTTTTTTTTTTTTTTTTCTTTCTTTCTTGGAACAGGGAGAATGTATTGAATTAAGTTTAAATTTTTGAACTGACTGTTTGGTTTTAAATAGTAGTTTTTAGGCTATTCCATAAGGCAAAATTAAAGGCATAAAAGCAAGGAAGAATGAGTTACTTGAGCACGCTGATAGAGCCATAGGACAAAAAAAATCAAAATGAGGAACAGATAGATGAGGGATGCCATTGCATAGTGGTTTTTTTTTTTTTTAAATGGAAAGTATGAATATTTACAATGATGTACAAAATACTATTTTTAATGCAAATGCAGAGAATAATTCAAGATGCTCGTGGTTTCTAAATATTTGAAGAGGGACCACGCCATGCCCAGCTTGCCTGTCATTTGGTAGTTACTGCATAAAGTTGAACCTACCCTCAGTGGATTGCAAAAAGCAGCTGATGTAGGAACATCAGATTTCTCAAGATGACAATGGTCTTGAGACCTTTTCAGCTGCCATTTCTTCTGCATATCAGAGGTGAGAAACTGAGAAACTCCCCCTGCATTCATACATGATTTTGGGTAGGTCTGCACTGGGCAAGTCTTCCAGATATTCCTGGGTAAATTTTCCTAGCTAGCAAAAGTCAGATCTCTTGGCCCAAACTTGGACCCTTTGATTGGTTTCAGTATTAAAAGGATAGCAAGGCTCAAACGTGTGCTTTGTCATTTTGCGATATACTATCTCAGAAAGGCATTAATGAAAGTGAGGGGAGCCTGTTTGCCTTTGCCAAGAGCAAGTTGGAGAAGATTTTCTCTTTTTTGTGTGTTGAAATCAAAGATGATCCATCTGAACCTGCATATAACTAACTCACCATGCCCTTTCACCATGGCAGACTGCGTAACACATGCCAAATGTCTGATGGTGCAGTTTCCTCAGTTATTGCCATTAATTGTCAGGAGAGGGTCAATGTAGAACTCATCTTCTGCCTCCTGCTTCCAAAATGATTGCCTTGCTAAGAAAAACGGCTCTCTATATTACCTCATGGTATGGCTGGAACAAAAGAGCATGGCCTTCTGCTTCTGTATATATGTCTGCTCAGAGGGGCAGACCTTGATGGACATGTCTTCCTGTGCTCTGAAACCTTGTTTTTACTGTATCTCATAAAGAGATAAATAAAACATACTGGCATCCTTGCATATGGATACTCACAGCATGTGGTCCAGCACTAATGTTCAGGTATCCAACAGAAAACCCCAGCATCTTCCAACAATAGAAGAGATGAGGATGCTGCTGCTTAATAGCATTTAATGCAATCATATCAAAGAATTATAGAATGGCTGAGGTTGGAAGGGACCTTAAAGCCCATCTAATTCTAATGCCTCTGCCCTGGGCTGGTTGCCACCCACTAGATCAGGCTGCACAGAGCCTCATCCAACCTGGCCTTGAACACCCTCAGGCATGGGGCATCCACAGCTTCTCTGGGCAGCCTCTATCAGTGCCTTACCACCCTCTGTGTAAAACATGTCTTCCTGACATCTAACCTAAAATCTACCTCTTTTAGTTTAATGCTGTTCCCCCTTGTCCTGTCACAATCAGACCACGTAAAAAGTCAGTTCTTCTCCTTGTTATAAGTTCCCTTCAAGTACCGGGAGGATACAGTGATATCTCTTTGGAGTCTCCTCTGTCAGGCTGAACAAGCCCAATTCCCTCAGCCTTTCTTCGTAGGAGAGGTGCTTCAGTCCTCTGAACATCCTCATGGCCACTTCAAGAGCTTTTGATTATGAACTAGCAGGGAAGTTACGAGTGGGAGCCCCAGCTAGAATCTCAGAGGCTAGAGAATCTCAAAGGTTTCTGAAGGAGACCGCTTAGGTTACTTGGAGCATAGCAGGTTTGTATGTTCACAGCAGGGGAACATGTAATCCATGCCCTGCTCTGCAGTTGTAAGTTAGATGTTGATAGAGAAGCAGCATCTGCATTTCCTTCTTGTTCTGTTCCCAAAAATGTATGGAAAAGCAAACATTCCCCTGTTTCCCTGTGTGCTTTTCTCTGGCTTTTAGCTGTGTAATGGCATTACATGGAGAAGTTGGAAAATAGCAGGAAGTTAGCAGAAAATTGTTTTTTTTAAAGAAAAACCTGGCAATGGGAAAAAGAAAGATTTTAAGCAGTGTGAGATGTCAGAAATAAATGGAGACCGAACACTACACAGCAGAAGGAATTAAACCCTGAATTCGTAAGCATGCACCATGCACCCTCTGCTTGTTAGACCTGTTCTCCTAAAAATAGTATTTCTGTGGGGAAAATGAACAAAATCTGATGAACGCAGGGAGTCATAGAGGTTGGGGAATTCAAATATCTTGAATTAAAATGCCACAAGCCAATAATTTTTAAACACTGCTTTTATTAACCTTACTGTGCCCCGGACGTTGCGAGCCAGATTTGAACAGGTCATTTCATATTCCATAGGTGTAATGCTTCTAGGTATTCTCATGGGAGCATTAGTTCAGTTCTTAATTTTACCATGACTTCATCTATACTGTTTTTGCTTTGGTTGCTCATGAAGGTATCACATGGGACACTGACCAGGGTTATTCTCAACATAAGTAGCACGTGCAGCTTTCTTTTTCTTTGCTAGGTTGGCTTGTCTTGTCAAAGAACAAAATCAGCTTGGTCTGTGCAGCTTGGCAGCATTTGCTCTGTATTTATCTCCTAATTATCATTCTGATACTTTGCAATTGATTGTTATATAACTTGAGCTAATATTTTTCCAAAAATTAGGTCTGTAATTTCCTTTACCCTCCCCTGAGGTGGTTGGGCTGTCTTCTCTGTGTCTCCCTCATCCTATTTTGCTCTTCTAACAGTTTTGGAAAGCGTTTCTTACTTAAAAATACATCTTAAGTTTCATTGTTGCCTGCAGTACCCTGAAGGGGACAAGGGGAAATGGTTTCAAAGTAACAGGGGATATTTATATTGGATATTAGTTTTTTAAAGTGAAGGTGGTGAGGCACTGGAACGGGTTACTCAGAGATGTGGTGGGTGCCTTGACCATGGAGACAAGGATCAGACTGGACAGGGCTCTGAGCACTCTGATGTAGCTGTAGGTGTCCCTGTTCATTGCAGGGGAATTGGACCTTTAAGGATGGACCAAAGGATGACTTTTAAGGGCCCCTTCCAGCTCAGACTTCTCTATGATTCCATGAAATTGCAGAGTTCACGTAATACATGGGTGGGAGATGAGAATCGGCCTTAAAAAAGGAAACTAGGAAAATCCTGGTGTACAACCCAGCCTGATCACCACATAGTCCTGTGTTGCCTCCCTTTGTAGATCAGGACTGGTGGCAAAGCATGGGAAGGAATCCAGCACCAGCCTTGCTCTTGATCTTGGAGTGCACTGAAGCACTTAACAAACTCCTAAATACACAAGGAGTCTCCTTAGGTTAATAAACATTAAGCAGGTGGTTAATGCTTTTGCTTTATTGAGACCTGAGTGCTGCTGTGTTTTAGCATTAACTTCCCAAGGGACTTTCAGTACTTGCAGTGTTTTGTTTCAGGAATGTTGAAACTCTTTGTTGTTGCAAAGTACTGAACTATGGAGACAGTGTGTGAGATGCTCTAAATTGGATCACGGCAACTGTTCCCCCTGGAGCAATGAGGGGCCTGAGCATGAGCTTGAGTTTCCTTAGTATACAGCATTATATGAGGAAAGAAAGAGTTAACAGTTATAGAAGAAAGTAAGAACAGAATAACGTAGGGAGACTAAAAGATTTAGAGCTGCTATGCACATTAAGGGTTTTTCTT